AAGTTTGGGAACTACTGCTCTAAAGCCTACAGTATCTGGGATTTGAAGGCAGCCTCCCCACTAAGTCAGTGGTTCTCAACCTGTGGGTTCCCAGGTGTTTTGGCCTACAACTCCAAGAAATCCCAGCCAGTTTGCCAGCTGTTAGGATTTCTGGGAGTTGAAGGCCTAAACATCTGGGAACCCACAGGTTGAGAACCATTGCTCTAAGTGCTAATCAAGACTGACCGTGATTAGCTTCCAACATCAGGCAGAATATGGTGCATTTAAAGCAATGATTACCAAATTCTGGTCCTCTGAGTGCTTTAGATTTTGACTCCCAGAATCCCTGATTAATGCCCAAAACCTGAAACTTCCAGAAGTTGAGGTCCAAAACACCTAGTCCTGCAGATGTTTCCAATTTTGGCTCTAATAATTGCTGATCATTGCCAAAGGCCAGAGATTAGGAATTTAGGGCAGGGGTTCTTTGTTCCACGGACCCCTTTGCCAGTCAGGTGAAAAACAGGTGTAGCAGCAGACAGCTTGATGACACTCAACACTAGCATGTCTTTAAATCAAATTTTAGGAAGATTCAAAATTATGTTTTACAAACTTTCCCACAATTTCAATCCCACCCATATACTTCATAAGATCAAAGATGAAACTCATGAGATCTCCTTCCATTTTTACATATTCTATGTTGCCATACTAAGTCACACAGCAGTTTGTACACAGCAAGACTGGGATCATGTGTGATCCAGCATCAGGTCTAACAACTATCATAATTTCAAAGCATGGAGAAGCATAGGTTTTTGTTTTTTTTTAGATATGCAACAACCGTAACGTGATATGAAATGAATACGACTGTAATGTATTGTATACATTAGTGAAGGTCGGAAAATAAAGATAATCAGTTGATTTGGTTTTTTTACATTTTCACTCAAGAACCCCCTGACATATTTCCCCAATGTATTTCTCACGGCCTTCTGTGGTGGCTCATCGAATGTGGAACTCCCTTCCTAGTGAAATCAGATTGACTCCTACCCTCCTGTTCTTTAGAAAGTAAGTTAAAACCAGGCTATGGAACCAAGCATTTGGAGAATACTACAGGGCAACATGCAGCTATGAAGCTATGAGAAACTGCAAATCACTTCTGGTGTGAGAGAATTGGCCATCTGTAAGGACGTTGTCCAGGAAACTCCCGGATGTTTTTACCATCCCGTGGAAGGCCTCTCTCATATCCCCACATGAGAAGCTGGAGCTGACAGATAGGAGCTTACCCTACTCCTCAGATTCAAACCACCAACCTTTTGGTCAGCAGTCCTACCAGCACAAGGGTTTAACCCATTGCGCCACCAGGGGCTCCTAGCTATGAAGTGAATGGAATGGAATGTAACTGGAACGGCCACGGTTGTCCATGGTATGGTTACATTCGTATAGATTGCTGCAATGTGCTCTACGTGGGGTTGCCTTTGAAGACTGTTTGGCAGCTTCAATTGGTCAGGTTGCTCACCGGAGCAGCGTAGAGGGAGCACACAACCTCCCTGTTACATCAGCTCCAATGGCTGCCAGTCTGCTACCAAGCACAATTCAAAGTTCTGGCTATAAAGCCCTAAACGGTTCTGGTCGCCCTAGGGCTGAGAGCGGCGGTCAACAAATGCAGCAAATAAATGGTCCAGTTTACCTGTCCAAACACATCTTCACCTATGAACCACCTCGGAGATTAAGATCGTCTGGGGGAAGCCCTGCTCTCGGTCTCACCTTCTTCAAAAACACGACTGGTGGAGACGAGAGACAGGACCTTCTCTGTGGTGATCCCTCGGCTGTGGAACTCCCTCCCTAGTGACATTAAATCAGCCCCTCCCTCCTAGCCTTCAAAAAGAGAGTAAAAACCTGGCTCTGGGGGGTTCGGGGTTCAGGCTTTCAGAGAATAGCACAGTGCAATAATATAATTAGAATATGTGCAGTGACTACAGAACTGCCTAAAGGAAAAGCTTTTCCCCTGACATCAAGTCTACAAATCTGGGAGTTGGTTCTTATCTCTATTTCTAAGCCGAAGAGCCAGCATTGTACGTAGACACCTCCAAGGTCATGTGGCCGGCCTGACAGCATGGAGCACCATTACCTTCCCGCCGGAGCGATACCTATTGATCTACTCACATTTGCATGTTTCGAACTGATAGGTTGGCAGAACCTGGGGGTAACAGCAGGAGCTCAAACCTCTTCCTGGATTCGAACCTGCAACCTTCCGATCATCAAGTTCAGCAGTTTAACCCACTGCACCACCAGGGGCTCTTAGACTATGACTTTTGGATGGCATTATTTTAAAATTGAATGTAATTTTAAATGTTTAATATGTATTAATTTTAATTCAATTGATTTTCAACTTAATGTTTCTATGTGTTTTAAGGTATTGAATAATTGCCCTATGTGAGCTGCCTTAAGTACCCCTTGGGGTAGAGATAGGCGAGGCATAAATAGGGTAAATATATAAATAAATAATAACTAAATTATGATTTTGGGTCTATGTGAAATGTTTAACAGCTTATTTAATGTATTTATATGGTATTGTTTTATGATGTTTCATGATTTTAATGCATAATGTAGTTCTATGTTTTAATGCAGCATTGAATAATGCCAATTTTGAAGCTGCTGTGAGTCCCCCCCCCCCCCCGGTTGAGATAAAGTGGGATAAAAATGCAGTAAATAAATAAACATATTTCCCACAGTGTCCTGGTTAAAAACTTCTGCCTTTTGGATATTTAGATCCTTGCATACAATGGAATCGCAACGTTAAAAGAGATAGAAAGAGTTCAATGGGACTGACTGAATTTCATATTGTTTTATGTATTGATGATGTGAATTATATTTTTCTTTGATATTGATGTATCTGTATTTATTGCATCGTATGTATTGTTACATTACGATAGCTTTGTAAGCTATCCCGAGTCCCTTTTGGGAGATGGGTAGAAATAAAGTTTTATCATCATCATCATCATCATCATCATGGGGTGCCCCTAAACTGTACAATCAACGCAGTCTGACCCCACTCAAATTATGGGAACTGCAGTTTGACAGGGCCCTTAGCCTTTTCTGTCAGAGGACACCTGCCTCACCAAACGACAACTCCAAGGATTCCATAACAATGAGCCGTGTGGTCCCAACTGCATGAATTCTATAGAATAGACAGAACTATGGCTAGATCTATTACATATTTTATGTTACACTAGCCATCCCCTGCCATGCTTTGCTGTGCCCCACATGGGGGTTCTGCGTGGGAGGTTTGGCCCAATTCTATCGTTGGTGGGATTCAGAATGATCTGTGATTGCAGGTGAACTATAAATACCAGCAACTACAACTCCCGAATGTCAAGATTCTATTTCCCACAAACTCTATCAGTGTTTACATTTGGACATATTGAGTATTCGTATAGAGTTTGGTCCAGATCCATCATTGTTTGAGTCCATGGTGATCTCGGGATGTAGGTGAACTGCAACTCCAAAACCAAAGGACACTGCCCACCAAACCCTTCCAGTATTTTCTGTTGGTCATGGGAGTTCTGTATGCCAAGTTTGGTTCAATTCCATCGTTAGTGGGGTTCAGAATGCTCTTTGATTGTAGGTGAACTATAAATCCCAGCAACTGCAACTCCCAAATGACAAAATCAATTTTTGAGTGAAGGACATACATTGGGTTGTTAAGTGTATCATGTCCAATTTGGTGCCAATTTGTCCAGTGGTTTTTGAGTTCTGTTAATCCCACAAACGAACATTACATTTTTATTTATATAGATGTGATAATAATAGTATTACAGTATAGTGGTATAATACAATATAGTAATATATCATACTAGTATTGTACTGTGCTAATAATATATATTGTATACATATATAATATTGGTATTATATTGCAATAGAATACAATACTAATAATACAATATAATATTTTATATGTCTTATTACATGTAACATTGCTAATATTGTTACAGCATAGTGGTATAGTACAATACAGTAATATGTAATACTAATATTGTGCTATGCTAGTAATATAATATATTGTATGCATATATAACTTGTAAGCCTCTCTGAGTCCCCTTCGGGGTGAGAAGGGCAACATATAAAGTCGTAAATAAATAAATAATATATAGATCTACACTGCCCACCAAAAATGAAATAAAAAGTTCAAGTTGCATTATATGTACACTGCAGAATTAATTTATTAAAAAACAGAGAGGAAGCAGGCAGGGACATCTAATTACCTCTCAACAAAAGTTTGCCCCAGGCGCAGTCAGGCCATTGTATACTAATCAAGGTGGTCAGTTGAAACATTCACACCTATCTCCAGCAAAAAAGAGCCCTTTGTCTCACCCTGGTCATGCCACAGATATATAAACCCTTTTTCCTAGTTCCAACAGACCTCACTACCTCTGAGGATGCTTGCCAAAGTGCAGGCGAAACGTCAGAAGAGAATGCCTCTAGACCATAGCCAGACAGCCCGAAAAAACCTACAACAACCCAGAATTAATTTAGCTTGACAACACTTTAATTGCCATGGCTCTATGCTATGAAATCCTGGGATTTGTACTGTGTAGTGCAGGAGTGGGCAAACTTGTGCTTTCCAGAGGTTTTGGACTTCAACTCCCACCATTCCTAACAGCCTTAGGCCGTTTCCTTTTGCGGCTGAGGGGGAAAAGGAAGGGGCCTGAGGTTGTCAGGAATGGTGGGAGTTGAAGACCAAAACATCTGGAGGGAGGGCCCAAGTTTGGCCAAGCCTGGTGTAGAATCTCAATCTCCCTCCCCTCTCCTCTCCACGTCCGCCTCCCTGAAGAGAAGCTATCTCTGCAGGTTCGGTGGCGCCCCCACGCGGCCTTCAGGCAAGAACGGCGCCAACTCGAGACCCTGCGAAGGCCTCAGAAAATGGAGGAGGGAGGAGGAGGAGGCCCGCCCTTTCCCTCTCCCTCTCTCTGCCGGGCAAGGCGCCCAAGGGGTGTGCTTGCCCGGTCCCTCCGGCAACGCGCCCTCACCTGCCCGCCGGGCCCGCTGACTTGCCGCGTTTGAGCCTGGACCAAACCCGAGCCACGGACGACTCCTCCGCCGGACGAAAAAGACGCCGAAGGTTTGAACGGGCGCGAGAGCCAACCGCCTCCAGCGACGGTTACGGGCGCGAGAGGAGCCACGCCCCCAAGTGGGGCGGGGGCCGGCGCGAGCGGCGAGGCGCCAAGACGCCTCATTGGTCGAGCCGCCGCGTTTGAATCGCTCCCGGCGCGCCGTGATTGGTCGAGCGTGGATGGCGCGTTCCTCCCTCTCCGGGCCCTTCGGGGCTGCTCCGCGCTGAAGTTCTGCCTCCGCTGGAGCCAATGGGGAGAGGGAGAGAGAGAGAGCGAGAGAGAGAGAGAGAGAGAGAGAGAGAGAGAGAGAGATCCCTTCGCGGGAAGGAGGGCGAGCGTCGTCCCAGAGCTCCCCTCCCGCCCTTCCTTTGGCCCTCCTCGGGCAGCATTTTCCCTCGGTTAGCGATTGGAAACGCATCCAGAATTGAATTGCCATCTCTAACATCTTTTTAAACTTGTTTCTACTGCAAGTAGAGAGTTTAAGGGGGCATCTACACCAGGCGTGGGCAAAACTGGGGTCCTTTCTTCAGGTGTTTTGAACGTCAACTCCCACCATTCCTGTGGCCTAATCTGTGTATATGTGTTTTGTGTGTATATATATTTGTGTATATGTGTGTGTGCACACAGAGGCGGCCCTAGGTAATTTTCAACGGTAAGCAAACAGTATCCCCCCCCCCCCAAATCACTGATATATATTTTCTGTTCGTCGTGGGAGTTCTGTGTGCCATATTTGGTTCAATTCCGTCATTGGTGGAGTTCAGAATGCTCTTTGATTGTAGGTGAACTATAAATCCCAGTAACTACAGCTCACATATGTCAAGGTCTATTTTCCCCCAAAAGCGCCTCAAGAGCACCCCTGGGCAAAATCAACTATACTGCAAATGCTTACTTTGCGTAATGGGTTGAGCCGCCCCTGTGTGCACCTATATATGTGGTTTTGCACATGCGTTGTAATGAGTGATGGTCACTCGTTGGCCTGACAGGTGTCTTGTGTCCAAATTTGGTGTCAATTCGTCCAGTGATTTTTTAGTTATGTTAATCCCACAAACGAACATTACATTTTTATTTATATACTAGCTGCCCCCTGCCACGCGTTGCTGTGGCCCAGTCTGGTGATCTGGAAAATAAAGTAATGAGAAAGTGTTGGTTTCTAATATATGTAATTCCTTTATGCTTGTGAGTAAACAGTATTTCTTGTTGTTTCTTTGTCAGTGTTGATGTGGAGAGTGTCTGGTTTGCCTACTCTGGAATATGCAACATATCATAGTCCTTCTTTAAGGGTCTCTTTCAAATCTGTGATACTATATCTGTGTGTGTGTGTGTGTGTGTGTGTGTGAGGATCATATCTATCTATATTTATGACTGGATGGCTCTTTATCAGGAGGGTTCTGATACATTTTCTTGCCCTGGTGAAGAGAGTTGGACTGGATGGCCTTAAGTATTTTCTGTTGGTCATGGGGGTTCTGTGTGGGAAATTTGCCCCAATTCTGTCGTTTGTGGGTTTCAGAATGCACTTTAATTGTAGTGAACTATAAATCCCAGTAACTACAAATCCCAAATGTCACGGTCTATTTCCCCCAAACTCCACCTGTGCTCATATTTAGGCATATGGAATTTTTGTGTCAAGTTCGGTCCAGATCCAACATTGTTTGAGTCCACAGTGCTCTCTGGATGTAGGTGAACTACAACTCCCAAACTCAAATTCAATGCCCACCAAACCTTTCCAGTTTTTTCTGTTGGTCATGGGAGCCCTGTGTGCTAAGTTTGGCCCAATTCCATCATTGGTGGAGTTCAGAATGCTCTTTGATTGTAGGTAAATTATAAACCCCAGCAACGACAATTCCCAAATGACAAAATCATTTTTTTTTTTGAGTGGAGGACATAAATTGAACTGTTAGGTGTCTTGTGTCCAAATTTGGTGTCAATTCCCCCAGTGGTTTTTGAGTTCTGATGGTAGCACGAACTAACATTACATTTTTATTTATATAGATAGATAGATGTTACAAACATTCAACTTTGACATAGCTTTTAAAATATGCATAATTGAAATATACACATGTTGGAGAACTGTTTTCATCTATGTGGCCACTAATAGCCATATTTTACTTACTAAGCCATGGCTCAAAAATATATTCTCTTTCTGTTGCAGTTTGATGGTATGCTTCCGGCCCAAGCATAGTCAAAATATACAGGGTTTGCAGTTTCAAATATCCATGGGAGGCCTTGGAGCATATTGCCCTGCAGACACATGGTGCAACTACACCAGACATGGGCAAACTTGGGCCCTCCAGGTGTTTTGGGCTTTAACTTCTACAATTCCTAACAGCCAGTAGGCTGTTAGGAATTGTGAATGTTAAAGTCCAAAACACCTGGAGGGTCCAAGTTTGCCCATACCTGATCTATGCTGTTGAATTATTGCAGTTTGACACCACTTTAAACTACCATGGCTCAATGCTGTGGAATCATAGGAGGTGTAGTTTCACAAGGTCTTTAGCCTTCTCAGCCAGAGAGTACTGGTACATTGCAATGCTCCATTGGCCTGCCCTTTGGGAAGAGGACACTCTGGAGGAATGCAGTTATTGAAATGCATTGGGTGGATAGCAAACTTTGAGATGTGCCTGCAGTAAATTCTTATGCTGTGAGACTGTGTAAAATAAGTATAAACAGATGTGGGCTTGACTGTAGACATTGGCTTTAATCCCAGCTAGTATAGAGCCATTACATCAGTTAGGTTTACCTATGTGTCAACTCATTATGCGGTTCAATGGATCTACATAAATTGGGACTAACCAACAATTACAGCCAATTTATTTTGTGAGCGTTTGGGATGGAAACTGTAAATGGCAGGTGCAGTATTTAGTAGCTTTGATATAAAGTGAAATTTGGGGCCCTTCCACACAACCATATAATCTAGAATATCAAGGCAGAAAATCCTACAATATCTGATTTGAACTGGGTTATCTGAGTCCACACTGCCATATATTCCAGTTCAAAGCAGATAATGTGGGATTTTATTCAGCTGCGTGGAGGGGCCTGAGGCACCTTCTACACTGCCATGTAATCTAGATTTTTGAATCAGATAATCCACATTGTCTGCTTTGAACTGGATTATATGCCATATAATCCAGTTCAAAGCAGATAATCTGGATTTTATATGGTAGTGTAGAAGGGGCCTTAGGCTGCATCTATACTGCTTTATAGTCCAGTTTCTGAATCCAGATTATCTGCTTTGAACTGGATTACATGAGTCTACACTGCCATATAATCCAGTTAAAAGCACAGAAACTGCAGTACTGTAGAATTAATGCAGTTTGACACAACTATAGCTGCCCATGGCTGAATGCTATGGAATCATGGGAGTTGTAGTTTGGTGAGGCACCAACTTTCTTTTGGCAGAGAATGCTAAAGACCTTGTAAAACTGCAACTCCCATGATTCTATAGCATTGAGCCAGGGCAGTTAATATGGTGTCAAACTGCGTTCGTTCTGCAGTGTAGGTGCACCCCAACTTTTCCTGTATATAGGATTCAGAGACAGCCATGGATCAGTGTGCAAACAGTCTTGTAGCATCTATGAAATTAACATAGTTTGTAACGTAAAATTTCATAGATTCAAGTTACTTCATCAGATGCATAAAGTGCCTAGGACAGACCTTCATAGTTATGACTGAACAAATGGTATATGTGAAATTTCAGTTTCAGTAATGGTCATTATGGGACAAAGGCAGGTATAAAATATTGCCTAAAACCATGGTGAGAAGATGACCACAGGAATGGTGAAGGGAGTTATTGGAACATAGGGTGCATCTATGCCATAGAATTAATGGAGTTTGACACCACTTTAATTGCCATGGCATAATAATTATAATTATATTTCTTACCTGCCTCTCCTCGTGGCTCAGATGCTATGGAATCCAGGGAGTTGTAATTTGGTACTCTTTAGCAGGGAAGACTAAAGACCTTACAGCTCTCATCGAGCCATGGCAATTAAAGTGGTATCAAACTCCATTAATTCTACTGTGTAGGCCCACCCATAGTGTTATGCTGGTTGGGAACCCGAAAGGAAGCGAGAGGCAGTCTGTAGATCTGTACTTATCTACAGACAGCCTTCCAATCTCAAAAGGTTGCTTAGCTGCAGGAGGAGACACAACATATGGTGCAAGACCTGGCCACAAACTCTGATGCCAACTCTGCCCACACATCTACTTGGGGAATGTCATCACAGGTCTTAATCACATTATCCACAATATTAGATGTTCATTCCCTTAACATGGTTTCTGATGTTATTTAGGCAAATATTGTTTGCATTTTTAGGAGAAGAAACATTTTTTAAGACAAAAACAGATTTTTACTGCCTCATTCGTTGCAAAATGTACTACTTTGTTTTATGAAAGATGAACAACATAAAGCATCTCATTGTGCCTAATTTTTGAGACTCTTATATCCTTGTGTCTTATATCCTTATATTATTGAGACTCTTATATCCTTGTGTCGAGTACTAAGACTCTCCATTTGACCTAGGCCGAGCATTGTCATTCCTGTGAGGGGGGGAGGGGTGGGCTGTCCGCTATCGCGCATGAGCCGCCCGCCATCGCGGCCATCAAATTCGAGCCCGGAGGATTAACATCAACCACCCCTTTGACGCACATCCAACGTCCATTGTTCCTTATCGTCTCATATAGTACGTGTTAACAACGCCATTAATTAACAATTGTGTTATTTTTGCACTACTCGCTGCACTTTAACAATCTATAAGTTTGCTTAGAGTAGCACTTTGTCAACCTCCCTATCCCTATTGCTGCTAATCCATAGTCCTGTATGCTGCTATTGATCCTCTTAGCACTTTACCTCCATGCTGCACTTTAACAAGTACTAGTTGGATACCAACAGCACATTGCACATCGCACTTTAAGATCTTATAAAGAGTACTCGCTGCACATTAAGACCGTGTAGCGCCAATAAGTGTGCTGACAATTGCTACTCATGTGTTCTACCATCCCCTGGTATTTATTATCTGTACTGCTGATTATCTGTGGAGGGGACAGGGGTCGTAGCGGTCTGGAGACCGTGGGAATCAA